GCTCTTACGGACTTATGCACCGGAGTTCGCACCTGAGGCAACCGGAGGTGGCGCGGCCAGGTCTCCAAAACTCTAGCCTCCCACCCACCTCGGGTGGATTGTCGTGACTGGTCCTCCAGTTGCTCCGGCCTCGGTGTCCCGCCCGCCTTTCCCGCGCGGCTCCGCCCCTGCAGCCCCGGGGCGCGGTGGCTGCGGGGACCCGGATCTGCCAGACTCTACCCGCGTCCTGAGAAGCCGGCGGAACAGGTATGCTGCGGGCCTGTCGCCTATAGTCTTAACCTGGAGCCTCCCCATGCTCCCGGAGCCACTAGACATGGAATTGAGCCCCCTGCGGTACAGACGCTGGAAGCCTTGGGGCGGAGTCTCCCCCTCCGGCCGCGTCATTCTCCATGGCTACGCGCACCCGGCCAACCCCAGCACCCCGCAACCCCACCCCAGCCGGGCGGGGTCTGGCTGGGCTCATCTGCCGGTAGTCTCCTGGAAATTCCCTAAGGAAGAAGGAATCGCCCCTAAATTTCACACCTCTGGTACCATCTGGGAAGGAGGGGCGCGGTCCCTTAGGTCAGGCCCTCAGTTCAGGTGTTCGGATTTAGCATCTGCCTTGCTCAAAACCGGGTCCCCAGTGCAACCTCTCCGGTTGTGCAACTGGGTCGCACCTCCATTCCCTCCCTCGCCCCAAGTCTTGGCCTCCACTATCTAACCCTTAGACAAGTTTCTTGAAAACTTAACCAGGCTGCTCACTCAGTTTGGAAAAGTTGGAACGGTTGCTTAAAAGGGGTATTCAAGGAAAGCAATTGATAATAAAATCTGTATTGTATGCTTGGCACAAACACTAAAAGAAGTAGTGAAGTAGCCAGGCGTGGGCACCAGACCATGGCTGTGGCGAAGTGTTAGGTCTGAGCTATGAGAGCAGTTTGCCCAGTGTTGGCCTGACTTTGAAAACAGACACGCAAACAAATGGTGAACTGGTATAGTTCCAAACAATACACAGTACAAGTAAGCCTTGATTTACATGTAGTTGCATCCTTCGAAAATACACTGTTGATTAAAACTGTGCAAAAATAGGTTATACTGAGATGTAAAGGCTCATTGCTAGCCGCAGAAAATGATGAAATCACTCCCCCCACCCTCAACTGGCCTCCCCCACATATACATAAATGTATGCAGAGAATTTCTAAGGTTGTAGGGTCAGACTATCCTTTCTTGTGGGGGACTGTCAAATTCAGAGCCTTAGTAGCTCAGACCTTCCAAACACTTCAAAAAGTCTTTATGCCTGTACTTTTGGGGGGCATACACACACACTTTACAGAGTGTACTGGGGGGTGGGGTTGGGTGGGGGGGGGTGAAATAGACGCACACGCACACGTTACAAAGTTTCCCCTAGGGGGCAGCACGTACCCACTGAAAAAGGTTAGGCTGTGACGGTTGGTCACAAAGCTGTGCTCTTCATAAAGTGCCAAGAGTGGGTGAATTATATCTTTTATTTCCAGAACAAACATGCAAAAACAGATACTGTTATTTAAATTTTAGAAATTAAGAAAATATAGTTATGCAAGGTTAAGGATTCACCTAAGATCACAACACTACAGTATATAAAGCTCAGCTGCAACCCAAGGCTGACCTCTGTGTCACTTTGGTTGTAGCCACAGGAAAGTTAGTTTGACTCTGTCTTGACACGATTGGAAAGAAAGTTTTAGCAAGGTGAGTTATTTTACATTTTAGTGGTCAATTTTCTGTATTTGTTAGTCTTTAAATAAAATGTCATTGCTCATTCCCAGGAACATCTGTCTCATTGGAGACTATGGATCAATATGATGTGATTAAGGCCATCGGGGAAGGTGCTTTTGGGAAAGCATACTTGGCCAAAGGGAAGTCAGATGGCCAGCACTGTGTTATAAAAGAGATCAACTTTGCGAAGGTAAAGTCAAGACGTCCAAATTCTTGTTGTCTTTCACCTTCTGACTTACTGTGCTTAGTATAGTCATCACTATGTTGTTGCAAATAGCAATAGTTCATATTTTTTATAGCAGTGTAGTATTCCTTTGTGAATATATACCACGTCTTAATCCATTCCTTTGTCCTTGGACACTGGTTGTTCCCATAACATGGCTACTGTAAATAGTGCTGCAGTGAACATAGATGTGCATATGTCCCTTCAAATCAGTGTTCTTGCATTCTTAGGAGTGGAATTGTTGGATCATATGTAGATGTATTTTTAATAACTTTAGAGACGCCACACTTTTTTTTTAAAGATTTATTTATTTATGCATACAGAACTGGGGTACAGGCCAGAGGTGTGGAGGTTGAGAGGATTTGCCAGAGACAGAGTGGGGAGTGGATCAGGGAGATAGACTGAAATACCCTGCTGAGGGGAGCAGTGGGCAGGTCAGGAGAGGTCTGCCATGCCACGTGGGTCACTTCCCTGGCCGGGGATCAAACTGCTGCAGTGGCTGCAGTAGCTTCATAGGGCTGTGCTTAAACCCGGTGTCCACCAGGGAGAGCCCTGAAACTCCACACTTGTTATCATACCACCTTGTTTATTTTTCTTACGAGCCTTTATAATGATCTGGAATAACTTTGCTTGCTTATTTCTTCACTTATTTATTGTGTCTCCCTTAGCATGTGGAATAATGCCAGTAATAGGTACTCAAAAAGTTTTTATTGATTGCATTGAATAAATGGAGAAAACTATGTATTACTGCTGTTAGTCTACTAACTTTTGAAAAGTAGTTAAATATATATATTTAAAAATTAATCACTGTTTGCTAAATTCCCCTTAGTTTGTGCTTATGTTACCCTCCTAGTGATGTGTTCATTTCAAGATATATGATACTAACAATGCCCATTGTATGTGTTAAAATTAAAAATAATTTTAAGGCTTATTTATTTGGTTGTGATCTGCTATAATATTTATAGATGAGAGTAGAAGAGGGCTTCCCTGTGGCACAGTGGTTAAGTCTTAGTGCTGTGAAGTGAAAGATTTTTTTTAAAAGATTTATTTATTTATGCATAAAGAACTGGGGTGCAGGCCAGAAGTGTGGGGATGGGGGTTTGAGAGGACTCACCAGAGACAATGTGGGGAACAGAACAGGCAGATCCACCGAAATATGCTGGGGTGTGGTGGATCTGCTGTGCCATGTGGGTTAGCTCCTGGGCAGGGATTGAACTGATACCACAGTGGTTGATGGTGCTGAGACTTAACTCTTGCACCACCAGGGAGACCTTAGCACATCACTATTTTTTTTTTTAAAAAGATTTATTTATTCATTCAGAACTGGGGTACAGGCCAAAGGTAAGGGGCGGTGAGAGGATTCACCAGAGACAAAGCAGGGAGCAGAACAGGTAGATCGACGAAGTTGAGAGGAGAAGTTAAATCTGAGGGGAGCAGTGGGTGGGCCAGAAGAGGTCTGTCGTGCCATGTGGGTCACCTCCAGGGCGGGTAGGGTTCGAACTCATACTGAAGTGGCTTTAGCTTCTTAGTGCTGTGCTTTAACCTGCTGCACCACCAGGAAGGACCGCACATCACTATTTAAACCCTCTCCAGACCTGATATTGTCCAGGGTCCAAGAGGTCTGCGTTTCAGCTGCCAGTTGGATATCTTCAAGTGATATCTGTATTATTATCTGTTGCTGTGTCAGACTTAGGGACTTAAGCAATAAATATTAATTATCTCACACTTTCTGTGAGTTAAGAATTCAAAATGTGAATCGTAGAGGAGCATCTTGAAAGCTAGTTACCACAATTGTATCCCGCGAAAGCAGCAATTTTCATCTTTCTAAGCAAATCTCTGTCACCTGCTGTGTGCTGCATTAGGTGAGTAAACTAAATTTCATTTTTAAAGATTTCTTTCTTCCTTAGCAGTGATGCTGCTAGACCATTGCATTTTAATAAAGCACTCTTTTTCTACTTAAGAGATAAATATTAAAATAACTTCCCGACAGATGGTTTGATAATTACAGTATGGTGCTACCACATTTGAACTTTTAAGACTGCAGAGCTTCACTGGAAACATGTTTTCTTGATTATGATTGTCATTGACAAATCATTGACCAGATATAGGACACTCTGCTACCTGTAGAAATTTTGTTCACTGCTATTGAAGGATCAGTGTTAGAAATGATATTAAAAATCAGTTGCGATTCTGGAGAATTTTAGGCGACTAAGCAGAAAGCATGTTCCTAGAAGGCAATTATCTTTACTGATTATTCTGTTTCTTAATGTAATTTAGATGCCTATCCAAGAAAAAGAAGCTTCAAGGAAAGAAGTCACTCTTCTGGCAAAGATGAAGCATCCCAACATTGTAACCTTCTTCAATTCATTCCAAGGTTTGACTTTCTATTATTCTTAAAATATTTTAATAAGACATAGCATGTAGGCTTTTATAAAAGACCTGTTCCTGAAAACTTTCCATTATATGTATTAAGATTAAAAATAATTTTAAGGCTTATTTATTCGGTGGTGGCCTGCTAGAATATTTATAAATGAGAGTAGAAGAGGGCTTCCCATTTACTTAAATTATTTCCCATTTACTTAAATTATTACAAACTGGGACATCATATTTATTTTTTTCTCTTGTGAATTTTGTACACAGTTTCTCTAATTCTTCCTGGCTCTCCTTTATTCTCACTGCCTCAAGGAGGTCAGGGTAGGTGTATTAACTTTACTTCAGTAAGTCCCTCCCCATTTCAGTGGCCTCAATAACTGTGGCTCCCACTCCATGCTGGCTGTTGGCGAACTGGGTCTGAAGTCTGGGTCCCAGGCTGAAAGAAACAGCCCAACATTGTCCTCGTGAGTGAAAATGCAAGACCCTGCCTCTGCTCCTGGGTCATAAGCAGCTAATGGAGCATGCATGTTACTACCTAGCTATCTTCAAGCACCACTGGTGGGGTGCAGCGGCAGTGAAAATCAGTAAAAATAAACAGCCCCTATTAAATGTACTTACACACTGCAGGGAACTGCCTGGCCAAGTTCAAATCACTGCCAAATCCCTCTCTAGCGAGCGGATTTAAAAGTTTTCTCAGGACTCTTCTGAGGTCTGGTCTTGCTGGAAGCTGAGTAGTACATGTGGGCAGAGAAGTGCATCGTATTGATCACTGAAATGAAAGTCTCAATAGTGGTTAGCCCAAGCGTTTATTAGAGATAATCAAAGTGAGCATTCAAACCCAGGAAGCTGAGAGCTTTTCCAACAATCACAGGTTTGGGTTTTATTATGTAAATAGAGACAGTGATTCATTGAGATTAAAAAAAAAAAGTAATTGTTCTTGAGGGCAGGGATGTGCTCTTTCTGGATTTTGGGGTTCCTAGATTTCTCTGAGACTTGGAGTTGCTGGGTCCTTGCTATGGCCACGAAAGAATCCAAAGCCACTTCTGTCAAAGAATACTTTATGTAGAGACAGTACCCCTGCAGAGAGCTGGGCGGGAGAGGCCATCCATGGAAGAACAACTGCAAGAAGAGGTGGGGGAGGCCTGGGGTAAGTGAGGTACAGGGGGCTGCTCACTCTGTCCTGTTCAGGGGTATGGTTGGGTCATCCCTGGCCACAGGTCAGCATGGGTCTTGCTCCCTTTGCTGCTTCTTGCTCTGCTCAGACGGTCCTGTATCAGCTTGCCTGTAGGTTGGGGTGGAAAGCTGCCTTCTCTCTTCTGAGTTTTTCTTAGTTCTCTCCAGGTTTTATTTTCTCTGGCAAATGTTTCTGGGGTTCTGGGATTGTTGGGCATTCATGTTCTTTAGGCATCACCCCTTCCTGCTCTAAGTCTGGTTTTCAATTCTAATTGAGAATTAGATCTTTAATTTCTCAAGTTAATGACTAAAGATACATCTATGGGTAGAGGAGGGAAAAGCCAGTTCCTAATCACTTCTCTGATTTCTAAAGAATGCATAAAGGGGGCCCTCCCTGGTGGTACAGCCAGTTAGAGCACAGCACTGGGAGGCTGGAGACACTTCAGCATGAGTTTGATCCCCGCCTGCCCTGAAGGTAATCCACATGGCGCTGCAGACCTCTCCTGACCCACCCGCTGCTCCCCTCAGCAGTGTACCTCATCAGTTGGCCTGTTCTTCTCCCCACTCTGTCTCTGGTGAATTCTCTCACTGCCCCTGCGCCTCTGGCCTGAACCCCAGTTCTGTATGAATAAATAAATCAGACTTTAAAAAAAAAAAAGCATAAAGGGGATGTGAAGGCTGGCATCCAAGGTGCAAATCTTTACCTGACTGCTCACTAGAGAAGGAGAGAGAGGCTGGTTGTGTGAAGCTGCTTCAACGAACCAGGCAGGAAGCCTGTGTTGACTTACAAGCCTATGCAGAGAAGGCTTTGTCTTCAGCCTGCTAGGCTGAGAGGTGGGGTTTCCAGAACCCCACTTTTTCAAGATGTTCATAGTATTGAACAGCTTTGAAGTGGAAGCCACTGAATAGTGTGTTATATTCCTGGTCTTGGATTTTAATAATACCATAGGAGGGTCTTTCTTTCCCTCATTTCCTTTTCTTTTCTTTTTTTTGTTTTTTAAAATAATATAACAGTTTATTTTTACATAATTTTGTACACTTTTTTGTTTTTATCTCAATTGTAATCCCCGTGGGCTTCCCATCACCGAATCACCCATGTGCCATCACCATAGTCCTGTGCACTTCCCTCCTACCCCACCTCCCCGCTGTTTTTGATCCCATTCCCCACTCCACCCCCATAAAATGTCTCTGGTATATGGCTGTTCATTATTCTTATTATTTTCTCGCCTGGTCCATTATACTCCTGCTATGAGTGAAACCATCCAGTATTTTTCTTTCTCTTTCTGGCTTATCTCACTAAGCATGATCTTTTCCAGCTCCATCCAAGTTGCTGCAAAAGACATGTGTTTCTCTTTTTGGTTGCTGAGTAATATTCCATTGTATATACGTACCACATCTTTCTAATCCAGTCATCTACTTTTGGGCATTTGGGCTGCTTCCATGTTTTTCCAATTGTAAATAAAGCAGCAATAAACATGGGGGTGCAGGTATCTTTTTCAATCAGTGTTTTTGTGTCTTTTGGGTAGATACCTAGGAGTGGGATTGCTGGGTCATAGTCTTTCCCTCATTTTTTTAGGTTATTATTGTGGCTTCTACTACTTTGGTACCTCCTACTCCTCAGGCCTTCAGTAAGATCACAATTCAAGCTATAGCTGCCCTTACCAATATAGCACAGTGCTCTTGTATTGTTGTGTCTGTCTGTTTATACGGATAATTACCAATCGGCTTACTATGACCTCCCTTAAGATAGTAAACTTAGTGAATTCTTTTGCTCACCAGGACATCTCAGCATCTAGCACATGTTCAGTACTCAATACGTATTTGTTGAATGAGTGTGTGAACTAGACCACTTGATTAGACTGACAATGGGGATTTGAGGACATTTTAAGCTGAACATTGTTATCAGTAATTTACAGTAAATTGTTTGTATTGTAAAGTTCCTTGCAGTGGCATTTTGTTTTAAGTAAAACACCCTTGTTTAGGAAAACTGGGGTTATTCTTATGCCTTTGGATTTGCAGATTGTTGAAACTTGAAACACCAAGCTGACCTGAGAGCCTCAGGGACCTTGTAGCACCTGCCTGAATAGACAAAGCCTTTGTTTAAATGCAAACAGCTATTGTCCAAGCCAAAGAGCTAGAGTGCTCTAGTTTACCAAATATTTGTTTATAAAAAGCATGAAGTCTCTCATAGGTTTGAAGCAACATGAAAAGCAAGTAGTGAGATTTTCCTAGAGCTAAAATAATTCCACTTATATTCCTTCAATCAATATGTTTCCATTGCTAGACATGTTCCAGGTCTTGGGGCTCTAGCAGTGAACAAAGATCCCTCTGCTGTTGTATTCATTTTTCCTGCTGCTATATAACAAATGCTTAACCAACATTTTTAATTATCATTTCCCAGCCTCTGAAGGTGAGATGTGTAGGCTTGGCTTAGCTGCATTCTCTGCTCAGGGTGTCACATAGTTGAAATCAAGATATCAGCTAGCTTGATGTCTCATCTGTGTTCAGTTCTCTTCCACACTTATTCTGGGTGTTGGCAGAATTCATTTAGCAGCACTTTTCGGACTGAGATATCTGCTTTCTTGCTGGTTGCTAACTGGAGGTAGTTCTCTGCTTCTAGAAGTTAAATTCCCTCCTTTGCCTCGAGGCTCCTTCAATTCTGTTGCTCACTTGAAATCTTTCATTCCTCTGTCTTTGACCTCTGGACTCAGATTTCAGTGGTTCATGGGATTAGCCAGATCCACTTGGATAATCTTCTTTTCTATAAACTCAGATGTTGCATTGGGCAACACCACACTGATAAAGAAATGGGAGTCATGGAGAAGGCTACACAATGCAGGATGCTGCCGAAGAGCAAGATCCTGGTCTTTTTATTAGTAGACTAATCAGACAGCATTAATCATGTGAGGAAGTGAAAAAGAAAGGGAGAATTAGAAGAAGCTGGGCAAAAGATGGAACTGTACATCTGCTGATAGTTTGGTATGTAGAACAGCCCTGACTGTTCCAGTCAGGATTTCAATCTTCTCAGTAAGGCATTCCACTAGTCAACTTCTGGGGTCTTTCGTTATACATCAGTCAATGGCCCCCCGGGCGTTCCTGGTCATACCTTGTGATATATAAGACAGGAGTAAGATTATGCATCCATCCTCAGTCCCCCGGCATTCCCGGTCATACCTCGTGATGCAGACCCTTCCCAGGGTGATCTAGCTTTATGCTCTTAATTGATATGAAAGGCGCCTCATAGGGCTGGGCTCTTAGATGGAGGCTGGATAAGCCACCTATGATTAGCAGACCCATACTCAGAGTCAGCTGATTAAGAATTTGAATGATGTCAGCAAAATCCCCTTTTGGGAATCATGGGAATCACATGCAGTTATGTCTGGGTTCTACGCTCTCTCAGGGAAAGGGAGGTAGTTATACAGGGTGTGTGCACTAGTCCTAGAATCTGCCTGCTACACTGAGAATTTTACATATTAGGAGAAAGGATGGCAGGGACAGATGATAAATTTAAGCATAATTAATAAGTTCATTATATAGCATGCTAGGTGACACGTGCTATGGGGAGAATAAAACAAGGTGAGGCAGCAGTAGAGGGAGCAATTTTTAAAAAAGGATTTATTTATTTATGCACACAGAACTGAGGGACAAGGCAGAGGTGCAGGGGTGGTGAGAGGATTCACCAGACACAGAGTGGGGAGCAAAACAGGCAGATTGACAAGTACACTGCGGGTTGCAGGAGAGGTCACACCATGTGGATCACTTCCAGGCCAGGGATCAAACTCATCCTGAAGTGGCATTAGCTTCTTAGTGCTGTGCTGTAACCTGCTGTGCCACCAGGGAGGGCCCAGAGGGAGCAATTATAAATGGGTGGTCAGGATGTGTCCTCATGTGAAGGTAAAATTTGAGCTAAAATTTAAAGAATGTTGCCAGTATCTGGACAAGAGCTTTCTAGGCAAGGAGAATACCTGTTGCAATGGCATGAGGCAAGAGCAGACCTAATGTATATCATTTTTTTTGAGATTTATTTACTTGTGCGTACAAGAGCTGGAGTATGGGCCAGAGGTATCGGGGGTGAGAGGATTCACTAGAGCAGAACAGGCAGATTAACTGAAATACACTGCTGAGGGGAGCAGCGGGTGGAACAGGAAAGGTCTCCTGTGCCATGTGGGTCACCTCCCTGGCCAGGGATCAAACTTGTTCAAACACTTGTTGCAGTGGCTGTGGACAGCTTCATAGTGCTGCACTTTAACCTCTTGCACCACCAGAGAGGGCCCGGGCCTAATATATTATTGGAGGCCATTAGGAGAGGCAAAAGTCCATAGGTCACAGCCCATTTTTGTGGGATATGTCATGATTCAAGAGCCTGGCTGTTATCTACACAGACTGTTTTTCGAGGTTATGTTTGCAGTGAACTTTGAAGGATGTGATAACATCTCCCTGAAGATAAGAAAGCAGGCTTGTTTACTGTCCATTATAAAAGTGGCAGATTCCCCAACTTCAGTTTTCCTCTCCTGCAAGACAGCCCACTGCCTATGCAAATGTCCATCTAAGCATTGATGGACACAGAGAACCAGCAGAAGTATGAAGCTTTGACTACTACTTTGCCAAGAGAATAAAGCCCTTTGTTCTGTCCAGGGAGTCTCGTGTCTTTTGCCAGCATCCATGAAGTAGTCACAGGCTTGGCTATAGGCAGAGTCTCAGTGCTGTTACAGAACCCTGACAGAAGTCAGTTTATTGGACAGAGTACAATAAACAAGGGGAGATATCAAGAAATATCTTCATTTGTTATGCTGATTCTATATCCCTTTTCTATTTTGGGCTCTAAAATGTCTTATTTATGAAATGATGGTGATAGTGGATGGATACCTCATTTCTTCCAATCTAGGTGCCATTCATCTTAGGGTACATCATTGTGCACTAATTTAAAAGAAAAATATTCTCAATTAAACTATGATACAGTGCTTTCTTTTTGTTTTATTTCATATGTGCTACAAGTGTTATTTTAGATTTAGTTAACAGTGTTATTTTTTTATTACCATTGGGCATATATAAAAAGAAAAATACAAGCAAATTTAATTTGTTAAAGTATTCCAAATGTATGGAGGCAGTAGTAGCATCAAGACTGCTGGGTTTACAGCAACAGATGGGAAGATGCCAAAGTCTGTATGACACAATCCTGAATTTTTAAAAGTGCATTTTAGAACGAATTAATTATAGCAGTTGTCTTCTAAACATTGGCTATGTAAAAATTAGTTGCAGTCCTAATGTTAGTGCCTCTCAATATTTTTGAAAGATCAATGATCCAAAAGCTTCATAATTCCAGAAACTACTGCTGTATATAGTGTTTGCAGTTCCTTTTTGTGATATCTTTTCCTCCTTTCTGCATTCTCAATATTATGCATGCGTTTAAGACTAAACACAGATGATTCTCCCTAATGCTAAAGTGGCCTTTTTCACCTCTGTTATTATTAGTATCCAAGTGAAGAGTACCCTAGGATCCAGACTATTAAGGGGAACATGCACTAAAGGCTTTCTGCCATCTGCATACACTAAAGCAAAGTAAGCATATTCTTCGTGTGAAAGATTTTTTTAAAAAGATTTATTTATTAATGAACAAAAGAGTTGGGGTGTACGCCAGAGGTGCGGAGTAGGTGAGAGGGTTCACCAAAGACAGAATGGGGAGCAGAAGAGGCAGATGTACTGAAATACACTGCTGAGAGGAGCAGCAGGTGAGACAGGAGAAGTCTGCCAGGCCATGTGGGTCAACTCTCTGGCCATGCCGGGCATCCAACTCATGCTGCAGTGGCTGGTGATATAGCTTGATAAAGCTGTCTTTAACCCCATGCTCCCCCAGGGAGGCCCCGTGTGAACGATTTTTTAAAAGATTTATTTGTGCATACAAGGACTGGGGTTGCAGAGGGTGAGGTGTGAGAGGATTCACTAGAACAAAACTGGCAGATTGACTGAAATAAACTGCAGAGGGGAACAGCAGGTGGGTCAGAAGAGGTCTGCTGCACCCAGTGGCTCCCTGGCTCCCTGGCCAGGAATTGGACTTGTGCTGCAGTGGCTGCAGATAGCTTCATAGTGCTTTAGCTCGTGGCACCACCACGGAGGGCCCCCAGTGTGAAAGATTTTTAAACAGTTATTATACACAGAGACAGAACCCTTTCCCTGAGTTTCCTTTTTTTCTTTTAAAGATTTATTTATTTATTCATATAGAACTGGGGTACAAGCCAGAGGTGTGGAGGGTGAGAGGATTCACCAGAGACAGAGTGGGGGGCAGAACAGGCAGATGGATGAAGTACACTGCTGAGGGGAGCAGCGGGCGGGTCAGGAGAGGTCTGCCACACCATGTGGATCTCCTCCGGGGCAGGCGGGAATCGAACTCATGTGCAAATGGCTTCAGCTTCTTCGTGCTGTGCTTTAACCCACTGCGCCACCAGGGAGGGCCTGAGTTTCCTTTTTTTGATTCTTGCATGGTTTTGAAATTGCCATCCCTTCCTCGTGGTAGCAGCCTCTTTAGTGATTAAGCTGTGAGAAATATCCTAATTCCCCTAAGAGTAATACATTTCTGAAAAGAATTTATCTCTAGATAATTAGGGTATGTCAGGACATATCTTAAAATCTCACTGCCGCCAGTTGGACTCACATGTACTTCTTTTTGCCCCGGAGTGTACACTCTTACTCTAGCAGTTCTCACACATGCTGATTGACTCCCTAACTAGACTGTCAACTCCTTACATAGCATCTTTGCAATGTATTGCTACCACAGCATTCCTTAGCTTACCCTCAATGAATGTTTGTGGATGTGTGAGTGGTTTTGTCCCCTTTAGGATGTGGACACTTGAAGTGTTATGTGAAAGAGGAAGCGCTCCCTAGGCGAATTAGGAGCAAACCAGGGCAGATGCTCTCATGTTGCTGAACCCATTTTAAATTTGGTTTAAGCTACTTGAAAGAAAAGGTAGCAAATGGAAGATATTTGACAAGCGATTCTGGCATTTAGTGAATACTCAGTTTAACTATAGGGGAAAATACCAGAATGACTAACACTTGCTTATAAGTGTGGTTTCCTGCAGTTTTGTTTTCATTAGAAACCACACAACATGAAAGAACAAAGAGTGGACTTGTTTTTGGAGAACACATAAACTGGTAGGAAAAATAATCAAGTTAGTAGAGACCTTTTTCTAACATGATTCCAGTTAGTGGTTGGTTGGTTAAGGATAAACCTAGTGAAGCGGAAAAGTGTACAGACATTTTAATCTATAAATGCATAATCACATGCAAATGTTTGAGATATATGTCCAAGGTCTTAGACTATGAGTTCACTTATTGGAGTATTGACTAGTTTTCCTTTTCTTGTTCTTTTTTTAAAAAACATTTATTTACTTATGCATCCAAGAGCTCGGGTACAAGAGTGGTGAGAGGATTCACCAGAGAGATTGGGAAACAGAACAGGCAGATCTATCGAAATACTGTCGAGGGGAATAGCGGGTGAGATAGGAGAGGTCTGTTGCTCCTCGTGGGTCACCTTCCTGGCCAGGGATCAAACTCTTGCTGTAGTGGCCGCTCATTGCTTCACAGTTCTGTGTCTTAACCCCTTGCTCCATCAGGGAGGGCATTGAATAGTTTTTCTTATGTAGACTATGCCCCTAATTTATAATTTCCAATTTTTCCTTTTTAGAGTGGAGTAAGAATTTATTCTGTGATCCAATCCTTTCAGAACTTTTCTAATAATTTCCCACTTGCCCCATCCAACATTTAGGTCATAGACATTTTTATTAAGCTACTCACTTTACTGACTCTGCCTGAACATTTAACATGGTTTTGGTAGAAATAACCCCATCTTTCTTTTTTCACTCAAACATTTTCACTTTATGTAATAATTTCATTAACAAGTATAATTGCCATGAGCATATTTGGGAATGTACACTGTGATCTCTTTAAGAATCTAGTAACGCCCACGGGTAGCCTTAAATGAATCTTCTGAGTAGGTCAGGGCAAGTTCAATTAGAAGAGCATCTATTGTATTTCACAACATAGTTGAATAAGGGCCAGGTAAATATAATTTACAGTCAAATTCAAGAAGGGTGTATTAATTCTTCCTGGGCTGTTGGGGAATATTTGCTGCCACTGTTTTATGGCACATTTCTAATATTTTGTAGGAATGTATTATTAACAACAGTTAACATTTATCACTCTCATGTACAGACATTGTTCTCTATTCAACATGAATGAACTCATTTAATCTTTACAACAATCCTAACAGGAGTTTCTATATTGCTATCTCTGTTTTATATACAAGGTTAATGAGGCAGAATGAAGTTAAAATAACTTACCTAGAGTCACAAGAAATGTATGCAATGAGATGGGATTGGAACCCATTCCATCTTGACTCCATAGTCAAAATTTTTAATTATTAGATGCTGCATTTTTTACTACATTCTCCACCCTCTGGAGATTGGAAGGCACATGATTATCTGAAACCCTTCCAACCCTGAAGGATGCCTTTCCTTACAGAGAACGACAGGCTGTTTATTGTGATGGAGTACTGTGATGGAGGGGATCTCATGAAGAGGATTGGTAGACAACGTGGAGTGTTATTTAGTGAAGACCAGGTAAAAGCACTTCTAATTTTCCTTGTAATTTCTGTGGGGAGAGTAAAATTTATCATTCTATGATGAGTAGACCATATTTTGATGATGCACACTTTCTGGTAGACAAATTTACACCATAAGATAGTGGCTCTCTCCTTACTCCAGAATGTATTTGCTATTGAGCTTAAGTTGAATCTCTTTCTGAGAGTGAAGTTTGCTTGAGAAAAGACAGTGTCTCATTTTTGGACCATTTCACATAGCATGTCTCTGAGAGAAATATTCATGACTAAAAAACATCTAGATATGTATTTATAGTTCTCTTCTTCCTTTTACAGTTCAGCACTCTATTTTAGAAAGTGATCCACTCTGCTGGGGAGGTTAGAAGCTCTTCTTAGCAGTAGCTATTTAGTGTCATTGGTTATTAAGAGAGAGGAGAAAAAAGGTGAAGAATAATGGCCTCAATTCCCATTTCCTTTTTGCACAAACACATATTTTTTCTATATGCTGAGCTGCCTTGGGAATCCTCCTGGGGATTGCACTCATGAAGGAAACAGGTGTACATGTGTGGGGGGGAACCACAATCAGCCCTGGCTGCTTCTGGTAAGGCTCACCCCAAGCCTGCCATCTTTCTTTAGGCCCTTGGTTTCTTTGTGCTATTTTGCATTTAAAAAAAAAAGATTTTATTTATTTTTTTTTACATAGAAGAAGTAGGACGTGTAGGCCAGAGGCTGTAGTGGGTGAGATGACTCACCAGAGACAGAGTGGGGACCAGAGCAGGTGTCACCAGAAGACTGGAGTTGGGGCCACCTGTCACCACTGAATGCTGATAAAGTAGAGACAGGAATCGAATCTTTCAAGTGTGCTTTCATCAGACAGCCGGCAATCTGGAAGATGGTGGGTTAACACCCTAACAAAACTGCTTTAACATTTCATTGCCAGCTGCCTTTTTATAATGAACTGAATTAAGAGAGTTCAGCAGTAAGTTGGCCTTCACTGCTACCAGTGGGCTGTGATGTGCAGCCCCGAGGCTCTTTGTCACCCTTCTGGCCTTGGACATCTGGCATCAGGCTCATCCAACTGTGCTAAGGCTGCTCTTCAGCTAGTGCTGGCTCCCTGCACTCTTCTAGACAAGTCCTGGGTTGCAAAATGAACTCAGAGAGGACAGGCCATAAACAATATGTGCATGCAGTCTTTCCAGCTTAGTGTCTCACTCGCTCTCCTCTTTCTCCATGGCCCTACAAGAGGCAGATTTACTCAAATACACTGCTAAGGGGAGCAGCAGGTGAGACAAGAGCAGTCTGCTGCACCATATGTGGGAAGAAATCAAGCCATTGTGGTGATAGTGCTGAGACTTAACCGTAGGCCACCAGGGAGGCCGGATTTTCACATTTAAAAGCATTCATACCCATATAATTTCCTCCTAAAAAGCTGAATATTTTATAAAATATCTTAAATGTATGTATGATTTTGAATGTGTGAATGAATGGAGACTGTCTCCAGCCTCTGTAAATTTAATTAATACTGTTCCTATGTTCATTTACTTTATATAAACTTCATACTTATAGAAGCCCTCCTATCTTCCTGTCTAGGTATTATTTTGCAATATTTAATACAAATACTTTCCTCTACAAAATCTTGAATTACCTTTCCATTTGTTGGGAAAGAACTAAAGTTATAAATGAATCGTAGCCTATGAAATATAGCTTTTCTCCTTTTGTTTTCTGCTTTCTGTATAACTTGGTATCCAAAGAGTCAATGAGATTTTAGAATAGTTTTAATAAAACGCAATAGCCATAAAGCTCATTTTATAAAGAGAGTTGGGCCAGTTAAGATAAAATAAAATCATGACTAAGAAATAAATTAAACTTTAAATATTTTTAATGTTCTATGAATATATATTAATAATTTATTAAAAATTTAATATGTCACAGATTCTCCTCCTCTTTTTCTCCCTGTGTTTGCCAGCCACATCCTCTGAAAAGGAAAACCCAGAGGCACCAGGGTTGTCAGAAACAAGGCTTCTTCTTTCCTATCCTGATATAATTTGTAACTTAGTATTAAATAAGAAAAAAAGAAAATAGTGAATTGTGTTTATTCTCCCTTGCTTTTATCTGTATTTTCTTGTAAGTAGAATTTCTTTTGATATCAACACATCTGTATTGCCTTTCTGCACCCTCATTTTTCTAGCGGTCAATAGAAAATAATATAAGATTTTATATCAATAAGCTTCAGTTCTATGAAAACATGCATACACAAAATATAGGAATTATTTCTCTCTCTCTGCATGTTATCATGAAAACATTTCAGTATCTGCAGACTGCTCACTAATTTTGTTTTATATTCTTTCCACAGATTCTGAATTGGTTTATACAAATTTCTCTAGGACTAAAACATATTCATGACAGGAAGATCTTACACAGGGATATAAAAGCACAGGTAACAGCTCAGACAGAAGATAAAGGCAGAACTGTTCTTTTGTTTTCTTGAAATATCTTGAAATAACAATACAGCATTTTCTCTATTTATAGAATATATTTCTTAGCAAGAATGGAATGATTGCAAAGCTTGGGGACTTTGGTATAGCAAGAGTCCTAAATAAGTAAGTACTTTTAAACATCATTTTTCTTTATATTCATGACTGTTAAAAAATGTATTTTGGGGTAGTGTGAATTAAGAAAACATTAAAAGCTTGGTTTCCAAATAATATTAGGTTGCTTTGTATAAATGCATCAAATCATTCAGATAGTGCTTTGTTTGAGACTCAAATTCCCAAGCTAAATCTTAGCACGGTGAATGGGAGTGGTAACGTTGTGAGGTGTGAATGTAATATGCATAAGCAAGTGAGAATTTAGTGAAACAGATAACTCACACTTGAATATATTGGTGCAAGCTGTTTTTGAAGATTTATTTATTTATGCACACAAGAACTGGGGTGTAGGCCAGAGGTGCGGGAGGTGAGAGGATTCACCAGAGACAGTATGGGGAGCAGAGCAGGCAGATCCACTGAAATACACTGCTGAGGGGAGCAGCGGGAGAGACAGGAGAGATCTACTGTGCCATGTGGGTTAGCTTCCTGGCTGGCTGGCTGGGGATTGAACTCTCGCTACAGCGGCTGTCAGTAGTTTAATAACACTGTGTCTTTTACCTCTGTGCCACTAGGGAGGCTCCTGGCATAAACTGTTTGGAGGATAATTTGATGGTAATAACTATCAAGAGATTTTAAATTTTGTTCTAAGAGAATAATTTGGAATTTGGAATAATTTAAATGCCTAGTGATTTAGGAAATGGTTTAATTGATTAAAATTTGGCACAGCTATGTATCTGAATATTCTATAGCCACTAATAGCTATGATTCTGAGAACTTCTTGGTAATATGAGAAAATATTTGATATATGAAATTTAAAAAATGGAATTCTGAAAGCAGACTGAAAATGAATAATGATGTAAAAATAGATATATAGAGAAATATAAAAATAAGATTAGGATGGGCACCAATAAACAGCAGGTAATAAACAACTGAACAAAGGAGTTCTGAATTTGAAAGGCAATATGATCTCATGTATGTGAAAAGTAAGTTTGGAAAAAAGACAAATATGTTAAAATTTTAGCAATAGTTGTTTTAGGATAGTAAGATTCTGGTAATTTTTCTTTATTCATATTTTCCTAATTTTATATCTTGAGATTGTATTATTTTGTTAATTGGAAAGAGTGAATTTTTTTTATATCTGAGTGTTTCATAATGTATCAGTTGTATCTCTGTGGAATCTTTTAAGTCATAAGAAAAATGTTTCTTGTGTAGATTTTGAGTTGTAAGTTTGTAAGTTTGAAAAACAATTTTATTGCTTTAATATTAACATACAGTATGTTTTACTTTATTTTTATATGTACATGCCTCAAATTTTGTTAGTTATGTTTAGACTTTCTTGCATGTCCATATTTTAAACCTTAACTTACTACAATAATAAACCATGTCATCTTATTATTTAACATCATTCCCTAGTTCTATGGAACTTGCTAGAACTTGTGTTGGAACACCTTACTACCTGTCCCCAGAGATCTGTCAGAATCAACCTTACAACAACAAAACGTGAGTTGCTATCAGTTTGAAATTCTCAGTAAAATCTGGAGAATTCTCTTCTTCTTAGGGTACTTTCATAATTCCATTTTCTTCATAGGTGACTGTCTCTGAACACTTTATTGTTGACTGAACTTTTGAACTTAATTAGAAGAAAGGTGTTTCTCCTCATTTACAACTATGTCATCAAAAGAATATGCTAAAAATTGCAGTGCTGTGATGTCCATCTGATGTATGACTTTCCTCTCGTTAAGCATTGTTTAGTCCTTTGCAGAAATGTGCTATGGCTGAGTGAGGTGGGAGGCAGTCTGGTCTGGTGACAGAGCACTAGATTAGGCTCTGGGAGCCAGTTAATTTAACTAGACAAGAAGACATTAGGCTGAGTAAAGCTAATGTGAAGGTGGCCCAAACCAAAATCCAGATCTGCAAATGCCTCAAAGTCAGGACACAAAAGACATTTAAGGACAACTAGTTGCAAACTGCCAACCAGGCTTTGAACTTCAGCCAGTCAAGCAATTCCCTATCTTGCTTCTGCACCTTCTCTGTTTGTTTTCCAGAGCTCCTGTTGGCAGACAACATCTAACCACTTCCGGTTTGATATCACCTGATCCAAATCTATTTCTGCTCACATAAACTTTAAACATCTTAAAATATGCTTTAGTTTATCTTTTAACAAACCCTAATCTTGGCTCTGTTACCACCTTGACCACGCCAGTTGACCTTTGTGAAACCAGTTCCTGTATCTGTAACAATGTGAGTGGTAGCCTGCTCTAAACCCCAACTAATTTTTAGAAGGAATGTTAAGAGATCAGGGGAAAAAAGTAATTGTAATAAAGTAAAAGCCAAAATCAACAGACAATTAAAAAACAGAGGTGTTCTACAGGGGAAGGAGGAGAGTAGGATCAAAACAGGAGAGGGAAGAGTACAGGGGACTATGGTGGTGGTGCGTGGGTGAATTGGTGGTGGGAATTCCATAGGGACTACAATGAGATGAAAAAGCAAGATGAAAAACAAAAATGAAGAATGATGTAAACAAATATTAAATAAATAAAAAACTTATTTTGTATATGTCATGTCAGATTCTGGTTCTCAGAGTAATAGTATTATACACAGTAATAGGAAGTGCAAATGAGGTGATTTTTCCTTCTGTGTGTTGATGTAAATAGATACAAGTAAAAGTGATTTATTAAACAATCACGATGAGCACTCAAGCTTCCAGATAACTCTGGGGAAGCTGCCCCAATTCTGAATCTCTCAGTGAGGATTATGCTCAGTTTGCAAGGATTCTTACAAAGAAAATCCAGTAAATGTCTCTAGCTGATGTTGCTTATGCACTGAGAAAAACAAAGAGGGTTGTTAAAATTTTTTCTCTATCATTTTTGGGGACTGTGAGTTTTAGCAGTACCATAAACCTGAAGTTTGTCTTAGAAGTTACTGGTTTACTCAGATGCAACAGTTTTTTTAGTTGTTGTTTTTGATGCAACTTCTTCATAAGACCATCTGGCAATGTCTTTTTCCCAAAGATTTCCTTAGGCATACAAGAACTGGGGTATAGGCCAGAGGTGCGGAGAGTGAGAGGATCCACCAGTGACAGAGTGGGAAACAGAACAGGCAGATGTACTGAAATACATTGCTGAAGGGAGCAGTGGGAGAGACCAGAGAGGTCTGCCACGCCATGTGGGTCAGCTCCCTGGCCAGGGATCGAACTCATGCTGCAGCGGTTGCTGATAGCTTCATAATGCTGCGCTTTAACTCATTGTGCCACCAGGGAGGGCCCACCTGGCCATGTCTTAACCCTTGGCTTGTACCCCATAATTGAGACCTTAGAGAAGATACCACTTATTTGTTAATTTGTTTAACACATGTAAGAAGGAGAAAAGCATTCATTTTCAAAATTGGGGACTAGTTCAAACAGTTGGTGTAACATTAAAACTGAGCTCCTTTGGGGAATTGATATCCATATGTTAAGGAAAACTCATAAAGGATTTTTAACTGCATGACTAGGAAAGGCAAAGTCTAGTGGGAGATTCATAAAAATAATAGTAAATATTTCTCTGCATAATGAAAAAACAGGTTCTCTCCTCGGCAAAGTAAGCATATTTTTTTTTGCTAGGATTCTGACAAACTGCAAGTTGCATTTGCCTGTGATCTTAGTAAGAATTGATAATGTACTTGGAAGTGTTTTTGATCTGTATCTGATAAAATATCAGGTAATGTATCTGAAAATGTTTTTGATTTGTATCTGATAAAAATATCTGAAAACACAGGTCAACCTATATAAAATTATAAATCTACACAAATATAAAGGCTGTGAGGAGAATGGCTTTTATTGAGCATTATGGAGATTTTCTTGGCATGTAAATCCTTTTTTTTCCTCAGGGATATTTGGTCTCTTGGCTGTGTCTTATACGAGCTCTGCACACTCAAGCATCCTGTAAGTACATTCAGTGTCAGATCAATATTGACTTATTAGAAATATGTAGATGAAATTAACTTCTGAGAGACAATGGCTACTGTTGGCTTTATTAGATTGTCAAACATTATATGGGCAAGCTATTATGGATGATGATAGAATTGTATATACTGACACAAAAAGATGTTTATGTTTATATTAAGTAAAAACTACAAGCTGGAGTCAGTCTACATAGCATATTTTCATTCAAAATAAATTGTGAATGTATAGAATCAGTAAAGAGAAAATGTGCAGGGATGAAATCTATAGGAAGTCAGGTACAAGCTTCCAAAAGCCCTCCCCTGTGGCATCCTGCAGAATACACCAATTCCTTGAGCAGAAAGTATGACAGCCCATGTGAAGTGTAATCTGCTAGAGAGGCTCATTAAAGACCCAGTGCTCAGGGCTGGTTATGTAGGTACCTGCTACTAGCATGTAGTAAACTTCTGGACTCCCGGGAAGAAAGGTTGTTCAGCAGAGACTGCATTGTTTTTACAGTAAAGCACCCTGAACCATCTTAGGAATTTGGGGAGTGGGGTCACTCCTGAAATTTCAAGTTCCTAGATGTCAGAAAATGACCAGTGTTATAGCAGGTTTTTCCAGAGATAGCATCTTAGCCCCGCTGTGTTAACTCTTTTCATAAAGCTGTGTCTACACAGCTGTTAGGTCACCATCGTCATCATTATTGTCATCATCACATGTCACTCTACTAGTAGTTTTCTCTCTTTTTTTAAAGATTTATTTATTTGTGCATACAGAACTGGAGTACAGGCCAGAGGTTCAGGGACAGTGAAAGGATTCACCAGAAAGTGAGTGGGGAGGAGAACAGGCGGATTGACGAAGTACACTGCTGAGGGGAGCAGTGGGCGGGTCAGGAGAGGTCTGCTGTGCCATATGGGTCACCTCTGAGGCTGGTGATCAAACTCACCCTGAAACGGCTGTGGGTTAGCTTGCAGTGCTGTCCTAACCTGTTGCACCATTAGGGAGGTCCTCAACTAGTAATTTTCTATCCCAACACTGTATCTCTACTCCTGCACTCTCCTCCTGAACATTATTATTACATGTAAATAACTGATGATTTCATACAGTGGAAGATTTCCTGAGATATAGAAGATTTTTAAGAAATGTGCTAATGAATTTCACATCATTATGACAACAATTCTTTAAACATTATTTTAAAAAAAGAATAGAAGTAGGGCCCTCCCTGGTGGCGCAGCAGGTTAAAGTACAGCACTGAGAATCTAAAGCCGCTTCCGCATGAGTTCGATTCCTGCCTGCCCCGGAGGTGACCACATGACGTGGCAACCTCTCCTGAACCCACCTGCTGCTCCCCTCAGCAGTGTACTTCATGGATCTGCCTGTTCTGTTCCCCGCTCTGTCTCTGGTGAAGCCTCTCACTGCCCCTGAGCCCCTGGCCTGCACCCCAGTTCTGTATGCACAAATAAATAAATCTTTAAAAAGAAAGACTAGAAGGAAATATCACTCTGCATGATGAAATGATATGCATTTTCCCTGACTTTACAACTTCCTATACCTTCTAATGATTAAATATTATTTGATAAGTAACAACTAAAACAAAAAAATTGTTTTAATAATCTGGCAAAATAATCTGTTTATTGGCTGAGAGGCTACCTGCAATAGCTGTTTGTGAAATATTAGTTGATGAAAACAAGTGAGGATAGACATAACACTTCTAACTGAACTTTAAAAACATCGTTTTGTTTCTAGATCTTACTTTAAATACTAGGATTGACTCTTCCTCCATCCTATTATCATTCTTCTTTGTCCTTTCAGTTTGCAGGTGACAACTTACATCAGCTAGTTCTGAAGATTTGTCAAGCCCATTTTGCCCCAATATCTCCAAGGTTCTCCCACGACCTCCAATCCTTGATATCTCAGCTCTTTAAAGTATCTCCCAGAGATCGTCCATCTATTAATTCTATTTTGAAAAGGCCCTTTTTAGAGAAACTCATTGCCAAGTATTTGACTCCTGAGGTAAGTTTTGAAGCAAATCTGGTTTGGATTTTAGCAGATTTTGACTAGTAAGTCTTTGACACATGTTTGGTTTTAGGTCATTCAGGAGGAATTCAATCGTACTCTCTTAAGGAGAACAAGACCATCAGCTTCTCGACCTGTTGGAAAGGTGGTCCCAGGTAAGAATCAGTTCATCATTATATCATGTGCTCATATGGTGAGTTATAGACAGTTAAGAATTTAGGGAGGAAACTGTACCAAACAGGTTAGAGTATGGGCATTAAAAAATATAAGCAATATAAAAAAATCTTGTCAAATGGTGACTAATGGGCATACCTGAGAAGCTGCCTGTGGCATTCAAATATGACCTGGAAGATTCTCCTTTTTTCTTTTTCTTTTCTTTTCATGGAGGAAAACTATGATGCAGTGGATTCACCAATAAACAGACGCTTGAAGAGGTAGAATCCAGACTTAATTTGAGTGTAGGGAAGGAATCATGAGAAAAAGAAAGTTGATTAGATGAATCTTATTTTTCTGTAATAGAAAAGATGAACTGGCAATTTAAAGTTCTCTTGTAAAGGTCTATTAGAACCAAAGTTAGAATCTCAGACTTAATTGTCTAAAAATTTGAGAACAATTACTGTGTTGCTCCAGAGAAAGCAGGTGATGATATCTATAGTATTGTTATTCACAAATAGTATGGTGATGTTTTGAGAGAAAGAGAGAGAGGAATTAAAGGGAAAATATCTAAATCAGTGGGTGCTGTGATTGTAAGAGCAGAATTTAATTATATACCCAAATGTCTGAACTTAAAGGATGAGGAAAAGTAGAAAATCTCTCTGAGAGATCATTGCTAGAGAAATATTATCCACTGTGATAGAGAAACTAAAATTGAGGAAAACTACAAAGCGAAAATAAATGCACCCTTTTGCATGTTTAATTTGGTTTGGCATTATTTTAGGTTGGGTGTGTTTTAGAAAATAAATATAAGATGAGGGAAAGTACACCAAGACATTTCAAATACAGGAAAGATTGGAAAACAAGAACAAACTTTGATGGTGAGAAAGTCAAACATCTTGAAAGACCTATTCATATATTTCAAGCAATAATACGAAGTCAGTGGGGTGACCTGATTACCCAAGCCCCGATGATTACATTTAATTTCCATAATTATGTTGTTTCTGGCAAAAGTAATGCTAATTACTAAAATTATTTTTAAAACAGTGCTATGTACTATCAAACATATAGGACCTCTGCAGTAAAAGGTAAACTCTGTATTACCAAACATACCAAGGAGCTCTGCAGTAAAATGTTGTCTCCAGTCAAAGAAAATGCGTAATAATTTTCCAGTGTAAAGTTGTAGAAATTTCTTAAAACTTAAGTTGTTTTCTTTTGGTTAAATAAGATGCTAATAAACAGAAAGTGAGATTCCAGGGGAAGTGCCTGTACCTGCCAAGATCAAGGAACTCTGTACCAATAAAAAAGAAGGAAAAATTACATATAAGGGAATGGAGACCTCCCAGTGGCTCTCAGAAGCCCGTATCTGTAAGTTGAACTGAACCCTTCTTGTTTGTTTGTTTTTAAGATTTATTTACTTATGTATACGGAACTGGGGCATAGGCCAGAGGTGTGGTGGGTAAGAGGATTCACCAGAGACAGAATGGGGAGCAGAACAGGCAGATCTACTGAAACACACTGCTGAGGGGAGCAGCAGGTGGGTCAGGAGAGGTCTGCCACGCCATGTGGGTCAGCATCCTGGTTGGGGATCGAACTCGTGCTGCAGTGGCTTCATAGTGCAGTGCTTAAATCTGTTGCACCACCAGGGAGGACCTGAACCTTTCTTGTTTTTAAGTGGATGGTGTGTTCTATAGACCTACGCTCACGTGTTCATGGCTATAAGCTCATGACTCTGGAATCCATTCATTTTGTACTTAGAGTCATTCGGTAATGAGTATCAAAGTGGTATTTCATTGTATTTTTAAAAGCAAGACTATTTTCTTTACAAGTATGCTATACCTGATTTTTGGTTTATCTTTTTTTTTTTTTAAAGATTTATTTATTTATTCATATAGAACTGGAGTACAGGCCAGAGATGCGGAGGGTGAGAGGATTCACCGGAGACAGAGTGGGGAACAGAACAGGCAGATCGACGAAGTACACTGCTGAGGGGAGCAGCGGGCGGGTCAGGAGAGGTCTGCCACGCCATGTGGTCACCTCCGGGGCAGGCGGGAATCGAACTCATGCAGAAGTGGCTTTAGTTTCTCAGTGCAGTGTTTTAACCTGCTGCACCACCAGGGAGGGCCTGGTTTATCTTTTTATGATTAAATTCTTCTGATTTCTTTAACTAAAGAAAAATTTTCTATATAGGAGAATTTTGTAGCATAATGGCAGAGAACATGCAGTTCATACTCCTAATTCTGACATGTTATACGTAATTGGGCACTTTTTTAATATATATTCAGTGATTATTTTCCTAGAAAAATCTTTCTGTGGAGTTATTTGAATTTACTTTAGCAAAGTGCTAAATCTTATAGTTCATGCGAGTAAAATGCTCTGATAACATTTATGATACCATGGATATTTTCTTAATTAATTGAAGAATTGAATTTCTTAAAAGTTATTCATTTTCATCTCCATATAACTTTGAGGTTACATTTTTACTCCTCCATATGAGCACCTGCTTCACTCATCCTATGAGTGAATTAGAGTCATTCACTCTCTGCACTATACCCATCCTCCCTCTATTTCTTTTCCCCTTCCTCCCTTTTATTCTGGTAACCAGTATATTTTTTAGAGTCTAATTGTTTTTGCTCTGCTTTGCCAGTATATGTTTTCTGTTCATTTATATTTTACAGGTAAGTGAAACCATCAAATAACTGTCTTTCACTCTGTGATTTATTTCATTAGCATAATCACTTCAAAGTCCATTCATTTTGTGTCATCATCTTTATAAGTAGCACAGCAGTATTCCATTGCATATATGTTCCACAATGTCTTAATCTAGTCATCTGTCACCCAACACTTAGGTGGGTTTCATGACTTGGCAGTTATGGAAAGTGCTGCTCTGAACACAGGCGTGTATAAATGCTTTTCTATTACTGATTTCCTTTTCTTTGGATAGATGTAGAGGTAGTGCTGGATCACTGAGATTTCCATTGTCATTTTTTTAAAGCTATCTGCATACCATTTTCCACAGAGGCCGCACCAGTTGCATTCCCATCAACAGTGGATGAGTCTGTTCTCAGCAGCATTTGTTGTTTCTATTCTTTCTGCTACAGGCCATTCTCACAGGGGTGCAGTGATATCCCATTGTGGTTTTGCTTCATTTCCCTTATAATACATAATGTTGAACATTTTTTTTATGTACCTGTAGGCCATCTGAATGTCTTCTTTAGAAAGTGCTATTTAGTTTTTTTGTCCATTTTATGAGTGGGGTGTCTTCTTTAATTAGGTCTGTTGTTAGTGCATGACCAAGGGTCACCCTGGACCCTCCAGCTTACATGCTCTAACGAGATCTAGCCATCCATGCACACAAAGGCAAAAGACAATTTTAGTGTGAAAGATTTTTTAAAATTTAAATATGTATATTTATTTATTTATTTTACATCATTCTTCATTTTGTGCATTTTTTTTCCATCTCATTTGTAATCCCTGTGGATTTCCTGTCATCAATTCAACCATGTGCCATCACCATAGTCCTGTATACCTTTCCCACCCCATTTTTGATCCAATTCCTCACTCCAACCCCCCAAAAATATCTCTGGCTTATAGTTGTTCATTGTTTCTCATTTTTACTTTATCACAATTGCTTTTTTCATTTCTTTTGTTTCCTGATCCCTTACGCTCCTGCTATGAGTGAAACCATCTGGTATTTATCTTTCTGGCTTATTTCACTAAGCATGAAAGCATGGACTTCATCTATGTCGCTGCAAAAGGCATTAGTTTATCTTTTTGATTGCCAAGTAATACTCCATTGTGTATATGTACCACATCTTCTTAACACAGTCATCTATTTTTAGGCATTTGGGTTGATTCTACATCTTTCCTATTGTAAAGAGTAGCAATAAACATAGGAGTGCAGGTGTCTTTTTAAATCAGTGCTTTTGTGTCCTTTGGGTAGATATCTAGGAGTGGGATTGCTGGGTCATATGGAAGTTCCATTTTTAGCAGTTTGAGAAACCTCCAAACAGTTTTCCAGTGGTTGTACCAGTTTGCATTCCCACCAGCAATGCAGGAGAGTTCCTTTTTCTCCACATCCTCACCAACATTTGTTGTTGCTAGTTGTTTGAAGATGTGCCATTCTCACTGGGGTGAGGTGGTATCTCAGTGTGGTTTGAATTTATATTTCCCTTAATGTGAAAGATTTTAAGTAGAATTAGTGTGCATAGAGAGAGAAGAGAAGAACGTATAGTTTGCCCAATAAGACACACAAAGTTATGAATCACTTCATGGGTAAATGCCCAGCTGAATAAGGTGGTCTTGAGACCCAAAGCTGCTGAGACCCAAAGCTTGCCACAAGTCCATGGCACCTTCTGGTAGGGATTAGAGGGAGGCGGCAAAGGGGCCTATCAAGGCTGGTTGAAAGGAGAAATATCAGAGTACAAATCAAGAGAATGGCTCTTTTCTCCATGTACCTCTTTCCATCTCTCCTTTCAGCATTACTAGGGTACAACTCAGGCTGCAGTAATAAGAGCCCTCCCCTCTTTCCTGAGTCTACCCCTTTCCCTGTTAAATAACTTCACTAGGCCTCTCAGCTTCTTCCCTCATTAAGTGGGGGTGAGAAACATGTTGCCCTCCCTTTTTTTTTTAAGATTTATTTATTTATGCATACAGAACTGGGGTACAGACCAGAGGTGCAGGGTGTGAGAGGATTCACCAGAGACAGAATGGGGAGCAGAACAGGCAGATCGACGAAGGACACTGCTGAGGCGAGCAGCGGGCGGGTCAGGAGAGGTCTGCCATGCCATGTGGATCCCCTCGGGGCAGGCGGGGATCGAACTCATGCGGAATTGGCTTAAGCTTCTTAGTGCATTGCTTTAAACCACTGAGCCACCAGGGAGGGCCCTGTATATATTCATTTTAATGTTTAAATAGATCTACATGAAAATGCCATATTTTTAAGTTAAAGTTGGCCAAATAGCTACAATTACATGTATTTTGAACAGGTAGCATTAAAAAGGACAAAGAATATATAGCATGTTACTTCTCTACATCAATTTTAGCCTTTTGTTTGATTATTCATATTTCCAACTTCAACTTCTTGGTATTTCAAATAAGTTGATCTTTTCCTCTTTGTTATTCATCATCTATCAAGAAGACAAGTTGTCAGGACTACAGTTAAATTCTACAGGACTAATTTCCTGCAGAATCTTGACTGGCTTTCCTGTGTTAACTTGGCTGTTCAACTCTTAAAAAAAAGAAAACAGTTGTTTCGGGTTCTCCTCTATTTGTCTTCTGGTTGGGGGTATGTGTACCTTGGGATGGCAAGCTGCCTGTTGCAGTTCTTTCCTGATTTTACTCCTGAAGAATAATTCTTTTTTTTTAAAAGATTTATTTATTTATAACTACAAGAACCGGTGTACATTCCAGAGATGTGGTGTGTGTGTGTGTGTGTGTGTGTGTGTCTGTGTGTGAAAGAGGATTCACAAGAGACAGATTGGGGAGCAGAACAGGCAGATTGACTAAGAACACTGCTGAGGGGAGCACTGGGGGGGGTCAGGAGAGGTCTGCTGTGCCACGTGGGTCACCTCCCTGGCTGGGACGGAACTTATACTGCAGTAGCTTCGGATAGCTTCATAGTGCTGTGACTTAACCCACTGTGCCACCAGGGAAGGCCCCAGGAGAATAACTCTTAACTGACTCATAATCTCTTCTTTTTTTTTTCTCAAGCTTGATGCCATTTTATATTTAGTCAATTTATCAGAATATAAAAATGTTCCAAATCCCCAAATTTGTGAGATGCACACTTATTCTTCTATAAAGGTGTGGATTCTCTTATAAGGTGTAAATTAAGTTCATGAAAATTATGAAACAATAATACTGAGTTTTCTTCATGCTGAGTTGGCCAGGCATGATCACTAGTCAGTATTTTGGATACACCAGCCATGAAAAACACATGATTGATACTCAGACCTGTGCAAAAATAGCACACAACTTAGGCTTTAAACTCTTTTACAGCTTTAAGATATGCTGATTCTAAGATGATTTTACTCAAAATCAAACCTGAAGCAAAAACAATAATATGCTTTTAATGCTTTATCTTAGATATGGTCATTATCAAACTGTCAATTATAGAATTGTATTATATAATATATATACAATTCTATAATATATTGTATTATAGAATTGTATTATATGTCAAATGACAAAACTAAACCAAGTTTGTAGTAAGTTTGATCTCAATCCATGCACTGGGGGAGGCTGGTGTCTCTCAAGCAGTGTAACACTGTACCTGAGGGATTTGGGGCAAAAACAGGTTATAAGATATTAGAAAAGCTGCTGGAAAACAGTGGAAGGTGATCGGGGAGTCCCTTAAAAGGATAGCAAGTCCTATATTCTAGGATAAGGTAAGCTGATGAAGTGGAAGAATAGGACTAGTTTTTAAGGTTTCCTTGACAGTGAGGCATTTCAGTAAGTGCAAGTTGACTCATATCTGTGATGTGGGATGAGTGTTTGAGGAGGCCTCCATTTTGTGGTTTCCAATATACAAAATAAACTCTAGGATATTAATTTTAAAAGCCATCTCTCTTTTTTTGACTTCTCCAGGTAAAAGTGGTCGAAAAACCCAAACTTGCTGCTGTGTGTGGACATTATGATTATTATTATGCTCAACTTGACCTGTTGCGACAGAGAGCCGAAGCACCAAGATACTACTATGTTCCTCAAAAAGATGCTGGATCTGAGGCTTATAGTCAGGAAGAGAGTCACACTCCATCACTAGGTCAATGGTAATGTCATCCT